AGCATTTATATGAGGTTCTTGCCATTTCCAAATGTTCCTCATACTGCCCAGATGACACTTCCAGCTTTGATACATTGGAATGCAAAATCAGAATACCTTTACAATAATACGTAGTGCTAACACTAGGCCAGAATAACATATTCTTTACTAGTTTACTTCACAGTGTACAGCAAAAAACCATTATGCCTAAGACTGCAGCTACCTGTGAACAATTAATTTTACTGTATGACCTATATTTTGGGACATGCTGTGCTATCACATTGATTTGAATGTGGTTACACTAGTGCACAAGAAGAATTTGCCCAACTCTACATAGTAAATACTGTATTTATATATACATATGTCTATATATAGTCTGTTGTGCTATTTATTTAAAAACATCCAGCATACAGAAATATAATAAAGTATAACAGCCAACCAACATTTTAGTAAAGCATAAAGGACGAGCAACTATAGATTCCTATAATACTAAGGAGACTACCTTGCCTGTTAAAAAGTTTTTTTGTTAAACAATAGACTACATTCTGTACAAATAATCTCTCTGCATAATACAACACTGAATTTCTTACCAGGGCACTTATTTCATTTCATCGGTAAGGAGTGGACATAATGCTTCAATCATATTTTTCTTAGCTTATGTTTAGTAATCTTTTTTCTTTCCTCTTGGGTTATATCAATTTTCATTGTTATAGTACTTGCAAATAAAATTGAGCTACATTTTGCTTAGATTTACAGTTCAAATTCCTCAGACTGCAGGTCAAGCCATGTAATACCATTTCTAAATATGAATTTTAGGAATAAACAGACAACACATTGCAGCCTCTACCAGGGAAGAAACAGAGTATTTGGTTTCGCAATACAACTTATGGTGAGCAGGAGGAAAAAAATCCCATGAGAAACAACTCATCACAAGTCTGTATCAAGCATGTCAACAAAAATACCAAGCCTACCTTAGAGGCTACACTACTTATGAAAAGTAACATTCAGTGTTTTCTATATATGATATACAAAATATGCATTATTTTTATATATAATACCTCTTCTAATGCTTCTCCTCAGCTTGTAACAGAGGTCAACACGAGGGTTCTCCAAGCTGTCCTCTATGGAGCCAGGGCTTTGCTCAGGAGAGGAGGGCCCTTTGCTAAGGTCCAGCGGTACTTTGCTACCTGTTGGTGGTGGAGAGGTGGCCGGGCTATAAGTCGAGGTAGGACTGCTTGCCACAGATGAAGCTGAGAGGTCAAGGGCACCGATCCTTGAATTCAGAGGTGAGGTCAACGACAGTTTTCGGGTTCTGACGGGTGAGGAAGTTCTGGACAGTGACAGTGGAGGAGGAGAAGAAAATTTGCGACAGAGATGTGGTGACTTCCCATCAGCCAGGTACTCTCCTCTGTTGTTTTGACTTGTAGCAAAGAATAACTCCAAAGACCTGAGAGTAAGAAACAAAAAAAGCAACAGATTATAACAAACACAAAACAGATTTAAGTGAAAACACTTACAAACAAATATTGTGCAAAATCTGCATGGCACTGCAAAACCTGTATGACACTTAGTCCTCAAAGCCTGGGCAGAAAATTGAGACAGACTTACCTAAAAACCAAAGTCCTATTTATGAAGGGAGAACTTTCCTCTTAGATTATTTACATAACAGAAAATCACGGTAAAAAAACCTGACAAGTGACATCATGGTAATTCCATAAGAAACTTATGTTAGAGGGAAAAACGCCAGAGCTCACCTGACAGGAATGGATGTGAACGGTCGTCTGTATATGTCTGAAAGTTTTTCCAGTACAACAGCTGCAGTAGTAAATATGCGGTAAGTATGTAGGAAAGTATTCAAGAAATCAATACTTAGAAATCGCAAGTCCGTTAGCCGCTCCAAAAGACGTTCGACGCTTGCATAACGGATCTGTGGTACTTTGCAGGAATTCAGTGTTTTGCTGAAGCAGATATCGATGTCATCTCTATGAAGACGAGCATCGGATCTACACAAAAATTAAATTTAGAACAATTTACCAGAGAGGAAAAGTGACTATTGTACAGTACTGGTATCACTTTAACTGCTTCTGTTAACATAGAGAGAGCAAATACATACACATTCTTGTATTTCATCAACACAAGAAAACTCTTAATCTGTGTGCTTTGAGTCTGTTATCTTTTATGCCACACCTAAGGGAATTTAATTTGGTTTGGTTTTTTTTGTTTTGTTTTGTTGTTTTTTTTAAATAATTAATTTACATTTCAAGTCTAAGAAAACATTAATGATGCTTAAATTCTGAAATGGAAGAGGAAGGAGATTGTCCCCCCTTGCCTCTTTTGGACTGTTATGGCCCGCAGTCCTATATTACTAGAAGTTCACTATACAATAATAGTGGACTGCTTGCATTTTTTTTCTCCTAGGACCTAAGTTTATCTAAAATAAGCTAATGGAACATAATCAGACACCCCTTAAGGGTTCACAAATGAACCCCTTAGCTAAGCTAAAGGCTCAACTGCAAGGTAACACCTGCTCTCAAGCTCCAAGATTTACTTTTTTGTTTAAAAAAATAAAAGAGCATGATACATCTCGAATTTCAAAGCAGAAACCACAGAAAGGCTTTGTTCAGCTAAAAAGCATTGGATTAATTTTTGTTTGGACACTAAACCGAAAATCAATCATTTACATAACCCTTCTCCTGATGGTTATTTTGCAAATTCAGTTTTGCTTAATTTTATCTAGTTGAAGACACTCAGTTTGCAAAAAAACCAGGATGGATGTAAGTAAAGCACCTTTCAATACTGCGTGAATTTTTCATTTTAAAAGACTGGATTTTCTCAGAATACAGCACCAAGATACTCCACACTCTTCTACACTGCATTACATAAAAATAACAACAAAAAAATATTCTTTCTTGAGTCCTCAGAAAAGTGGCAATTTTAGACTTTAGACCTTGTTGTACTCTACAATTTGAAAACAGATCAACGTATTTTTAACATTCAGCAGGTAACAGAAGTGTTTACACACTGGAGAGTTCCTGGAATAAAACTGAAGGCAATAAAATGCCTTCTTTTGAGGGATCAAAGGCATACACCCTAATAGTACAGTCACAGATGTTCTAAATTCTTAATTTCTAAACACATAAAAGGGACGAGAGGTAACAACTAATAAAAGGGGCTTTGGCAAAACCTTCATGTACAGAGTACATCCAAGAAAGAGTATAGTAACAGAGTAGTAACAGAGAGCAGTAGGAAAGGAAATATATTTCTATCCCTAAGTTGTATTCCTTAATATTTATATCAGATAATAGCAGGTAAAGCTCATGTCAATACAGCTCTGTAGAGGATCAAAGAGGTAAAAATGTTAGACATTCGGAATAATGTACTGGAAATTGCTGTCAACAAACAGAAATTACCTATCACAATAAGTGACTGAAAGAATCCCAGGGTGAAGCAAGTTTACAAATAATTATGTTACCTTGATGTGATTAGTTAAAATTCTGAAAGGAATTTTTTTTTCTTAAAAAAAATAGAAACAAAGAGAAGAAAAAAATTGGATAATGTAACAAAACACTTTGGACAATGCTACTTGTCTGCAGTCACCTAAATTTTGAATACATTTGAAAATTTATTCAATAAAATTATGAGTGGTATGACAGAAAAAAGCTACCAGTGAGTAAAATTATTCCTCTGAAGTATAACTGAAGGCAGCTTCACAAATAATAGAAAACTCTGAGCTGTGATCCTATGCAGCGCAACACTGTGAATTGAGAGTTTATCATTTTGAGTCATTCCTACCATTTCAAGAAAGAAATTCGAAAAGGTACATTTTGGGATACAGAATTAATTCAATTCAACATAAATAGGTAGGAAAAAAGGTTGTAATTTCCAAATACAAATTTTCTTTTGTTAAAAAAACCCCAAGTTATTTTGTTCAGTGGGAAAACAAAATGCTGCACTTACTTGATCATATGTGGCACTGTGACTTTAGAGTTTTCTTCAAACACTATTGTCATCAAACCATTGCACCGTATGTTATCAATGCACTGTGAAAATAAACATTGAAAACTGTTATAATGAAAACACAGTGTAAAGGGATTTACTTACACATTTTTCATATCATTGTAAGCATAAAGCATAGCTTTTACAGGGTATGGACTGACTGGTACAAGGTATCTTCATTACTGAAAAGCAGTGATGCAAGAATTATAGTGGATATGCTTCTCTAGTCTTCTGCTTTTGATTTGCACATCTGCAAGTCCCCACATCTTTACCAGTACACTCAGGGTATTCAGCTCAGTCTCCTTTTTTCCACATGATTGAGTATTTTGAGATGAACTTTCCTTTGAAGTTCCTTTGAAACTGAACAAAATTAAATACCTTTAGCATTTTCTGAATGGGTGCTAAGCTTGATAAATGAATACTGCAAGAAAGCTAGAATACTTTATACAAATGAATACACTAATATCTTAACCTTTACACTGTGCAAAAAGACCAAAGACAAATGCAAACAGTTTCTAGAAACACACATGTAAAAGGAAGTTCAAGTGATGCTGTTATCATGAAACATAGCTAAGCTGTTCAAGGAGCTCCTTGCAAACTCTTGCATAAAAGTTCTACAGGACTCTTGTCTTCATAATACTTTATAGTTTTACTCATCAAGTATCCTATATATAAAAACCCCACTGTTTTTTTCACATCAATCAAAAGGAGTTTCCAAAATGATTATACACATTTACATTTATCATAAGAATAAAAATAGTCTGCTTGCTTTGGAACATATCATAGTAAAATAATGAGTGATGTTACATTGGTCAAACAACATAACCAGAGGCCTCTTCATGTTTAAAATATATCTACATAGTTATAGATTTACAATACAGTTTATGTAGCTGTGTATTATTTTAAATGCAGGTTTTTAAGATTATTTGAAAAGTGCAGTTGTAACAATTCACATTACCATTTTGTCAAACTGTTACCTAAAAGCACTGAGAAAAACACATCTAATAAAACATCATTTCTTCCAAGTGAATTTTAAATGTTCAAAGAAGCCCTTAGCACCAATCATAAAACTGCCTTAGGTATTTCAGCACTGATGTCCTTAGTCTGCATAGGCCTAGCATTTATCACCGCCTTGACAGGTATTAGCCAATCTGGCTAAGGAATGGCCATAATGGAGATCTAGGGTCAAAGGACAGCAAACTCAAACTAGAAGAGAGGAGGCTTCTTCAGCATCAACAAAAACTATGCATTGTTCATAAGTGTATGTTCTCACTAGGAACAAATACGACCTACATGTCTTATGCATATATAATTTAATAAGATGTTGAATTCTGGACACCAAGACTAACACTGTGAGTGAAGCACAACTACATGCATACATTTTTTTTACTTGCAAACATAGAAGAACACATATTTACTAAAAAATACTTTTTACATGCTCTTTTTATTAGCCTAGTTCCTATGTTCTCCTTGAGGGTTGTAGCCAGTGTTAAAAAGAAAAAAAAATTCTTCTAGACAGGCAATTCAGTAAGTTTTTAGGACGTTTACGCTGCCAATGGACCCAGCCAGAAACACAATTTGGTTTCCAAAGGACTAGTGGTCTCAATTGTTTAGAAGTTCTCATGCATCATCCAGATCTTCACCCCAAATTTTCTTTCTCCAGCAGAAGACAGGTGGTATGCTTCTTGCATCATTTTCTTCTTTATTGCTCTCTACATGGAGCATAAACACTAAGTCAACTGACTCGATGGTTATTTGTAAACAACAGTACCAATTCATTCCTCAAATGCCTGTGCAGTCTGTGCAGCATCTTCTGCTTCTTCTCACTCCTTTTTTAACTGCTGCTTATTCCCTCAGCATCTCTTGCTTCCCTTCCTTTATAGGGCTGGAGAAGCTTTTTCAGCCTCATAATGTTAACAGCCCTCAGGTTTCTCAGGCTTTCATTTAGATGCTTCTGTTCATAATTGGTCTTGTATCACTTCAGAATAACCCTGCCTCCAAAAGCTGGGACATCTTCCCTTCCTCAAAGAGAAGGATCAAGAGAGAAACCCTTCTAACCGATTCCCTTTGCTCCCTTAGCTACATGCAGTTTCTCTCTGCCTTGCTAAGACCTACCATCATAGTAGCATTGTTTGGAGTGGTTTGGAGGAGAAGACCTGACATTTGGACGCAGACCCAAATTCTGATCTCAAGTCTACGTGGACTGCAGATGACTTGCTCATTTAAATTATTTAGGCTAAGAATGGACTTATTCCTTTGTGACTCATGTCTCACACCAGTTCTTAAACAGTCTTTCCTCCACAGTAAATAATTCCAATGCTTTTACATGTCAATGGAATAACACAATTCACTGAAAATCCATTTTGTAAAAAAATTTCTAATCAGGTCTGTCTGTAAGATCTGTATGCACTGAGCTGCAGTGAGATCAAAGTCCTCCACTCATGCCACATTTTGATATTTTTATCTTCACAGTTTTGCTCCTTTAAAATAGTTAGCTCAGAATAAAGTAACTCAGAATACTGATTTTGAAGCAATTTCTACTCATTATGATGATAATTTATCTGGAGATGTTGCCAGCAATGCTAGCACCTTTAGAAATCCATCAAATTCCACACTGATATTTGTCTAAATCAACTATTAATCTTGAAATTAATAGGGGTTATGTCTCAAATTCACAACTGATAGATCTATACACTTGTTGGTTCCATGCATAAACAAAATAGCAATAGCCTTAATTCAGATCTGATTAGTTGAAAGTTCAGATTTTTCATAGTGTACTTATCTTCTTTCCCCAAGCAGATTCTGATAAAAGCTTGTGTACTATGTTTTTCCCAAAGGCACTAAAAATCCCCAAACCATTATTTTAAATCACCATTTTTCTTCATTGACAACAAAGACAGTTCCTGCACTCTGTCAGAATGCTTAGTAATTATTTATAATGGTTTGTATTTTTTTTGTGGAAAACAGAATTTATTTCATTTTTTCACTGCATAAGATATGATTATTGATGTCATATAGTATGATTTTCACTCTCAGGTATTATTTGGTCTGTATGAAAGCTATGAACAAGCAAGTACTACCCTAGTTCTTAAATCAAAATACACATCTGGATGGGCTCTCTTTAGACAGAAAAATTACTACCATTAGTCATAAGTTTGTCGCTGACAATTTTATGTTTTATCTCACATCTCTCTCATTGAGAAAAACATTTCACTGATGACGCAAATGCAAAGGCAGAATTTTGAGGAAAACAGGTGACACTAAGAGTTTTTCATATACACATATCACAACAAATCAGCCCTTATGAAATCAACATCCCTCTCTTGGATTAGTTTTCAGAAATACAGAATAAACTACAATCTCAAAACAAACAAGATAAAGAATGCATTAAGCTACCTGACTTATATCACTTGTCCATGCAGCTTTCTCCTGTCGTGATGGGGCTAAAAGGACAACAGTAAAAGGAGGAGCATCTGTAGGTTCAACTACAAGCTTGAAATCAAGGTGTCCAAATACTTGTCCAGAACCTTTTGCTTTACAGCCAGAAAGGGAAAAAAAAAGGCAAAATGTGAGACTTCAGAGTATAAAACAAATAAAATAATGACTTCATTTAAAATGGAAGTTACTTTAAAACACCTCTCTCACATAAAGAGAAAATCCAATTGGGGATCCAAAACTAATTTTGTTTTTCACATACAGTGAATACAAAAAAAGTTGCAAACATGGGATAGTGGGAGTTGCTATACATTACTTTTCAAGATACCAAATAAGGCTAAAGTATTTCTAACACTTCTGCACTGACATGATCTCAGCATAATAGACATATCACTGAAATTAATGAAACTGTTTCCACGTTCAAGTGCAAAACTTGCCTAAAAATGCAGGATGGAAGCCAAATTGAGTAACAATAAAATCAGCTTGGGAATGTGTTTTGTTGTTTCATTTGAACAAGCTTGCAGGCAAGATTTGTAGGGAGTCTAAGACAAAAACTTTCCACTAATTCTGCCAACTCAACCTTCATGTATTTAAGAAACCCAGTTATCTGCTGCTACTTTAAAGCCATCGGTTTTTTTTTTTTCTTTCTGAGATCCTCGGGGATCTTTTGTATACAAAAGTCAGCAAATACATTTGTCACATACCTTCAGCCAGTCTACTTGAAAATCCTATGTGGGATGTCAACAGCAAGAACAAATGTAACAAATCAAACCCTTATCCAAGCCAACATGCCCATTATTAAATAATCTATTCTACTGAATCAGTTTAGCACTGTATTCCTCTGGTTTCATGAAAGGGGAGAACACATCAATTTGCTCTTATGAAAAATAAACAAAGGATATCGATTTTAAGAAACTAGAAACTGCAATTACTACAAACAGCTGAATGTAACTTACAATCATCATCACTTGCATCTGTCTCCTCGATCAGTGTGCACTCTATTAAAGACAAAACACCTCCTGTCTATGAAAACAAAGCACATTTGTCACAAATTTTGACATTTGTTCCCATTTGTCATTATAATTATTCTTAAACTTTGATACAGCTTACTCTAAGATGCTACATAAATTAGAGCTCTTGGGAAGATATATCAATTTCATGATGCATATTTTTCCTAATAAATAAACCTAATTTCCTAATAACTAAACCCAAATAGATAAAATATAACATTTTTCTCTTAATCCCACAAATCAATAATAAACTCAAATGTGCACAATTTATTTCATTATTACCACATTATAATTTATCTCACATACGGACTTGTTCACAAGTTTCAAAAAAAGTAGCTAGAATTTCATCTTCTCCTGAACTTACATCAAATACAAGATTTTTTAAAAGATTCAGTTATACTCTATTTACTTTGCAAAACTGAACTATTTAAGGGGTGCAAACTGAGAAAGCATGGTAACAGTCTTAACAACCTCTCAGAAATGTCTTTGTCAAATTAAATTTCTATTCAACATAACCACTCTGTAAACTACCAACATCTCTTCATTCACAAGCCAACAGTATGAAAGCCTGATTCTCAAGAAATATAACTGTTCTTAGAACAGCTTTCAGTTTAAGACACTGTGCTGTTCAGGAAAACAGAACTGACTTTTTAAATTAATATTATTAGAGCTCTGGAAAATATTATTTAGTAATTCCATGGGTTGTGCTGGCTGATTTATGCACTGAAAACTGACTTACATTCAGTGTTAGCTTGTACAAATAGACACACCGATGTCTGGTTTCTAACCCCCAGCATATTAGAATTACATGCTTCTAAAAAAATCATAGTAATAACTGAATTCGATTATTAGCAACGAGAAGACAAAGCAGTTAATTACTGTGCATCACCTTACTTTCATTTATAGCAACACATACAAATCTCATGTTAAAGCCATAAAATAATAAAATACTGAAATTTCACTGAAGCTGTGTTTTCATTATGTAAACTGAGTCATAACGTAAAGTCTATACCTTGAGAAGATGCAGTTTTCCTCCTGAACTTCTTGTACAAATTAAAAAATGTTTTGTAAATAAGAAGCACTGCCTTTCTCCTTCTTTCTTCAAAGATAATGATCCCAGACGAACTTTACTAAGCTTTCCCCTCTCAACTGAAGGGACTTGAATAAGGGAACCTGATAATAAATACGCAAAGTTTAATGTACTATAGTAATGCTTAGCAGGCAGTGTTGAAAATGTTAATGCATTTAATACTACGATATTAATTAAAGCAACTTCTCATTCTAGTAAGTATAAATATACATCAGCATCTGTTCTAAGCACAAGCCAAGCATCTTTCTTGTACAATTTCTCTTTGCTTTTTTAAAATAACTAGACTCAAGGAAGTACAGTCTAGACTAATACTTCATATATATATATGGTAGTATGAGGTCTTGGGGTAATTCTTACGCAATTTAAACACACTGATAAGACAATGATCAGAAAATGAAGCTGAACAGTAAACTGCACTTTTGACAGCTTCTGGATCTGCACGAGACACCTTATTTACAAGCCAAAGAGATGGAGGATGAAAAAAACAGGTTTCGAAGGAGAAGAGTTTGTGTATGTGCAAGAGAGATGGAAATGAAGCACATTGCTTCCTCTTATCTTATACTGCATAACATTCAGTGCTCCACAGCTCATCTAAAATGTGTTACCAGTAAAACACTTCTGAACTAAATTGAACCTGGTTACATAAGTCTGAATTTGTGCTCTGCAGAACTCCATACTGGGGAAAGCTTTGCTTCTCTGCCGCTTCGTATCTCAAAGCCTGTCTCTGACCAACTTTTCCAGATTGATATCACCATGTATATCACTTCCAAGTTTGGATCAGGAGTTAAATTTGGTAGTGAAGTGCAATTCCTCTATATATCAAAGGGAAAAATTTTAGGATACAACTTGCTGTTACCAGACAGGGCAGCCAAGAGACCTCCTAATCTCATTCCCACACATCTATCCTCACTCTCACCCTTACACTTGCTCTCATCTTATTCCAACATTAGCTAGCTAATAGAGCTAAACCAGCAGGAAACTAATGCTACAAAGAAGTAGTTGACTTATCTCTCTGCCTCACTGACAAGGTCAAAACAGCACCAGTGATGATGCAAAGGGAGTAACAGCAGCAGAACAAGCATGAGGGGATGGACTACTGGCTTGTCTCTCTCGGAGGCAGTAAGATACTAGATTAGCTATATCAAAGCTCAAACTAGCGGCAGCATCTTGACACAATGAAAGCCTGAAAGAATTATCCATGAAATATTTGTAATTCTTACTCTACCTTGTCAAAAAATTCTCTTGTTCAAAATTCAGATACATAATCTTAAACTAACAAACAGAGAAATTAAGGTAACTGACAAAGCTACCGTCTATCTACACAAAATTGTTCTACACTTAGCTCCCTCTATAAGTTTAATTAGCCTTAAGTTATTAATATCTTTGAAACTTATGCCACCTGGTATAGTAAAATACACATCATTAATTTTACAGCAGTGTAGTATTCTTTGACAGCCATTTCACATTTAAACTAAGTATGTACAATGTGATTCGTGTCACTACAACAAAATAACAAGGTAAAGTTCTACTCCAGAAAATTGCAAAGGTCTGGAACATTTTCCCTTCAGTTCTAACAAAAACCATAAATGGTTGTTAAACATTTTCCCTGGACAAAACAGCCTGCCTGCCTCAACTGTAAGACATCAAGGAGATAATTCCCATGTGTTGGAACAGTGACTTTTCTGTTTTACACCAGCTGCCCCCCAGCTCCCATTGCAAGGCCAAGGAGTGTGCACAAAACAATGCCTGAGCAAATTCCCAACACAAAATTCTCAGCATAATTTTTCTCCTGAAATTTCTTCTACACATTTAGGATAACAATATTCAACTCATACATTTCTTCTTAGAATAAGAGTATCTATCAATATGATACACTTAGGAATACAGCTTTATACTGAATTTTGGGGTTTTTATCGTCATTAGAATGCTTTCAGGAATACCATACTCTGTTCTGGTAAAATGGGCTGTAGGTTAAATGGTATTCTTGTATGGAGCTGAAATGTTATTGTTACCTTAAGGTAAAACAAAAGAAAGTAGAATTTATATATGTAGAAAAGGGAGATTGCATTCCCTCTCTTTGATACTCAATATTTACAGAGAGACACACATATCCTAGATGTGCTGCATGGCTGACATCAAGCAAGTACATCATGCATTCCCGTCAAGTTTTTGTGATTAACGAAAATGGGCATTGCCCACCATGCATTCTACTACACATTTCCTCTTAAGGAAGAAAATGGTCATGATTGGTGAATATTCAGTTGCAACGAGCAAGAGAGGTTATTTTTAGAACATTCATTAATAGTATAGTTCGGAAAATCACGTAATCTCAGGAATTTGTATCCATCTGCAGACCTAAGCACTTTCAGTACGTCAGTACTGCCATAATAGTCACTCTATTACCCTTTGTTCAGTCCAAGAAACACAAAAGGTTGTATTTTTAAAAAAATGGTTTTTAGCCTACACATAACTGTCTGATCTAAAAAGTCAGTCTGGCTTTTTCCATTCTGGAGGCCTTTTAATTTCACTATAAGGATGGTCAAACAGTGGAAAAGGTTGTTCACTCAGAGAGGCTGTGGAGTCTCTATTCTTGGGAACAACTAAAACCCAGTTGGACATGGTACAGAGCAACCTGCTCCAACTGATGATGCTTTGAGCATGTGAGATTGGACTGGATGCTTTCCAGAAGTCCCTTACGACCTCAAGTATTCCATGATTTTCCAACTGTGATAAATTTATCAGGAGAAGTACATTCACAGTGGGTGATGGCATGAACATTAGACAGGTGTTTGGAGGCATCTAAAGGTCCTCCAGATGCACAGTTGTCTGGGTGTTAGCCAACATTGGATTGCAGATTCAGACTCCCCGTTTCCTTTAGACGCTTAAAGAAAATGTTCTTTTATGTCATGTTTACCATGACTTATAGTGTGACTGACAATAAAGTCACAATCAAAGTAGGAGAGAAAAGTAGACACCAATAAACCTGAAGGGGAATCCGTAATCTACATTGCAAAGCATAGTGAGATACAGTTCCTAAGGTCTCAACTTGTACAGCTCAACATAATCAATATTTTAGACAAGTAAAGTATATAACATATGGTAAAGTTGTAATTAACCTTCACAGAACAAGCATGAACAAAGGTAAAGGCACCTCTCTCCTTTTTTAAGCTGAAGAGGTTTCCTGTATCCGTCTGCACTAATCAACACAAAGACTAGGAGCCTAATTGAAATCAGAGGAGATGAACGTCACTGCCAAAATGACCCTACTGTCAGATATGAAAGGTAGATGGACTTGGTATTACTTCATTAGCTCTATTCAGATTTCTGCACTTAGACAAAATCACATGCAGTGGGTGCTTCAAAAGATAAACTGTGACACAACCTTCTGTAACATACAGTTTTGTCCACCTTTTTTTTTTTTACGCAGAAATAAATCTGGATTTAATGTACTTAAAACTATGAGTTTTACCTGTGTTTAACAGTAATATTTTTCAGCCAGATTCCTATAGAAAAGTAAGCCCACCAGATAAGCACTGCAAGCTGTTTTCAGTTACTGGTAAAAGGTTAACTGGTGAGGCAGCCCTGTTCACTGTGGAGCTGTAGGTAATTTCCATCCCTTTGAAGGTCACAGTCCAGGCAGTATGTACATTACCGTTCCATGGGTGTTTTACCATTCATGTGCTGCTGTCTTTCATGGTTCCTGAAGAAAACAGTGCAGAAGTGGGGCTCAACCACAGCCCAAAATTAGTTGCCAGAACATTTTGTGGCTTACCCTCCACAGACCATGAGTCTCAGGATACTAGTTGTGTCCAATGCAGTGACCTGCACATTGATGGCAACATGAACAAACCCTGCTGGTTTTCATGCAATTTTCTCATGGTTATATAGATAGCTTTAAAGAAGAATGTCTTACCTTGGCGTATAAATGTTTGGCTGGTATCTAGTAATATATCACAGCCTTCTACTATCGTTCTCTCTATGGCTAGATTCTTCCGGATGTTTTCTGTGTCACTCACTTCATCATGCATCACCCTGGTAGGCACAATACAAAATGCACTTTAAATTCCCTGAAATGTATCTTGCACCAGTTGTGTTTATTTTTAATTACACTTACTTAATTACACTTACATAGTGTAGACACAGAAGGTAGCTGATATTCTTTCCCACATGCTACAAAACAGATATATCCATGCATATATATCCATACCACTCTAGAGTAAGTTTCTTGCCTTTTTCCCTTCCCTTTCAAATAATTCTTGCAATCCTTTAATTTTTTCAGCAGTGGAACTGATTTTGCCAGACTTGTTCTTAAACACATCTGACAGAGGGCACCGAGCTAAAAACTGTTCACAGCTGATACAACAGTACTTCTTGATCCTTCATAGATCAGGCTGCCACAAACCTGGAAATGTTTCACACAATCAGAGAATGCATTGGTTTGGAAGGGACCTTTAAGGATCATCCAGTCCGACCCCCCTGCAGTGAGCAGGTTGCTCAGAGCCCTGTCAAGCCTGATCTTGAACGTCTCCAGGGATGGGGCCTCCACCACCTCTCTGGGCTACCTGTTCCAGTGTTTCACCACATTCATAGTGAAGAACTTCTTCCTAATGCCTAATCTAAATCTACCCTTTTCTAGTTTAAAACTAGTGCCCCTCATCCTATCACTACACATACTTGTAAACGGTCCCTCCCCAGCTTTCCTGTAGGCCCCCTCAGGTACTGGAAGGCCACTTTAAGGTCTCCCTGAAGCCTTTTCTTCTCCAGGTTGAACGACCCCAACTTTCTCAGCATTTTTTATTAGTTATGATACACTGTAGGTCCTTGTCCTTGACTTTAGGTTCCCATGCTGTTCTGCTTCAGTTTACATCTGAATGTACCATTCACTTCCCCTTTGCTTCCTGTAACAACCACAGCTTCAATGGCTCACCTTTTACTTTCTTCCATATTTTTTTTCATAGGCATCCTACCCTTACACAGAGAAATACAAATTTTTTCAAGGCAGAACCCAACTTAGAAGTTGATATGGTCGTGTGATGTGTAATATTTTCCTAAACTGGGACTAGATTGCACTATCTAAAAGCTCCTCCTCCCTCATAACTACATTAAAGGGGTTGAAATGAGTCACAAAGTTTTATATTTATGAGCAGAGGTGAATCAGTCAGTCTGAGCCTACAATTCTGAATGTTCAGTGACAAATTAGTTGGATCAGCAATGAGCTCTGACTTATGAGATGAAGCTAAGTCAAAGCTGATTGATCTGCTAGTGCACATAACCCCAGCCAGAGAAATTCTCTGCTTTGCCTGAGTGGAAAGGAGACATCACTTTTTTCTGCATCAAACAGCCAGAGATCAGGGCAGAACTTGCTGAACACTGCAGGAGTCAAACACAGACACTTCGGTAAAAGGTACTGCCTGTCCAGCTCTTTAAGAAGTTAGAATGTGAAGAGGTGGCACAGCAAGCCCTGACACAGAAAGCTGACTCCGTTAAGGATATAGCAGGACAGAAAATAAAAAATAATAAGCACTAAACTAATGGGTAGTTTGCACAAGGTAGCAACTTCCTTGCAACAGAAGAAGAAAACTGAGCAGTTCAGAGCATGCAACAAAGTCTATAAAGCAATTCCTTGTTTGCAGCCAAATATTCTCCAAATACGTCTTTGGTGAATACTCCAGATACTCAAGATTTATGTCCTGGAGTTCATGTAGATTTTCTTTGTTCACAGCAGACTCTACTTCCCAGAGATAACAACCGAATTTCCTACAGGGCTCACTGAGGGGAACACCTGAGAATGGTCTGGGAGTGCAGGGAACAGCTTCATTTTGCAGACTTCTACAGGGAGCAGTGGTTTTCAAAACAGTTCTTTAGCTCCTGCTTTTATGGCATTATTTGAAGCATATGTGAAAATCAGTTATTTCATTAATTCATGTAAACTATAACACAGATTGCAATTCAGAACTTTTCAAGACCCTGATTGATTCCCACTATCACAGAGTACTGGAAATGTCCTTTTTCTTTAATCTATTAACAAAATATATATTTCTTTATGTAAAGAAAGTTGCTTCGCTCATAACCCAGGGGCAGGTGGTTCCTATAGCAACTTCTATTCTCCTCTATCCAAAATACAAGGACACACTTGTAGACTTATGTTAGCCAAAAAAAATATAGAAGACCCAAGATAGTGGGTTGGTGTATTTTGGGATTTTTTGTTTGTTGTTTTTTCTTTCATTATCTTTGTTTTGTTTTGGTTTTAATCCTTCAAAAGATTTTTTTTAAAAAAGAACAAAACCAAATCAAAATAAAGAAAACAGATTTTTGATTTCAAAACCTTTGATTCAAGATTATCAAACATAAGGTAGAAAAAGCTTACCTGGAAAGTTCTTCCAGTTTAGACTTAGCAAATTCAAGGCTTTTTCGCTCAACATGTTCATGTGGCGTGTGAGCCAGAAGTTCATGAAGTGTTATAATATATCTAGGAATCTTAAAACAAATTAGGTATAAAATCAGTAAATCTTTAAAGGAACAATTCCGATGCAGCTGTTTGTTAAATATTAGCCATTATCCTGTCAGAAAAGTTTTGCAAACACAGTATTTTTTTAAATTAATATCCACAGCCAAATTATTATACATACATTCTAAATATAACTACTGCCAAACTACTGAACATTTGGGTCACAGAAACTGCATATGCATACACAAGTTTTCAGTTTGAGGAAGCACAAGATCCATTAATTAAATTTGATGGAAAAGATCAGATCAGAGGCAGACACAAATATGGCATTAAGCAATAGCTAACTTGCTATATCAGGTATATTATCCCTCTCTGGACTGCTTCATAATCCTGCAGCAGGCAGAAGTCGAGTAAATTTTCCTCAGCTTTTTTTTCTTTTGATGTTAGTCCTCATCCCACATTCACCTTCAACATACTTAAGATTGTGAATAGAAATGAATCATTAGAGTTGGATAAAAGATCTCCACAGGCAGAGTTTCAGTAAAATAATGAAATAAAGGAAAAGTAATTTGCGTAAGCGTACTTTTAGTTAAGAAAGAAGAATCTTCAATCAATCATAGAGAGACTACCTGAAACATGGGGTAAGTAAGGAAAGTTTCCAGCATTCGCCCCTCACATGCTGGGTTGGCTTCATATTGCTTCAAGAGTTTGTCAAAATCTCTGTTTTGCTTACAGTTTGCCAGTACTTGTAGACTATATTGATGATTCCGAACAAATTCTTGATATATGTTCAGCATTGGCAGCAGAATGTCAAATAAGTCAGCTAGAAGAAGTAAAGAAATGCTTTTTTTTTCCAGTTACCCATCTCTTGGAATACATTTTTAAAGAAACTACTGTGTTCTATGGAAGGGAATTACTATAATCAGTTCTGTTTCCAACATACTGAGATTTTAGAAACATTAAACTTGCCTCTTTCACCTGCCAAAACATGGTTGTTCCAATTAGTTAATATTCAGGCAGTATCACCAAAAATTCAGGGGCCCGTGTCTAATTAATGCTTAGGGCAGAGGCATTCTCATGTACGAACTGCAAGACAGCCACTACTGCTCATGTGGCACTCCCACTCCACCAGATCTCGTGGTGTCAGTTCTGGAAACATGTCCCATTCAAAAAGGACTTTAAAAAAGTCCTCTCTTTAAAAGAAAGAGCTCACTGTAATTTCAAAAATAAATATGAAAATTGTACCCCTGGAGAAAAATATAGTAACTTACCTAGGATTAAGGTAGGCCAATTAGCTATTCTTGCTTTTAAGCCTTGGTGAAATATCTCATGAAGAAACATGATTGTTTCACTGAAAAACAAGTTGTTTAAACAAATGAAAAGACAATTCAGGTTTCATTTTCTGATTAACAATTCACAGAGAAACATTTCTTCCTGGTTATCAGTCTATTTTGCAGTTTGCTAGAAAAAAACAGTAAATGGTTATTATAATGGAAGTAAATGCTTCCTTTTATTGCATTGTTTAAAATCTTTATTGTAGCCTATCTACAAAACACATATTTGTTGTAGAAAGCATATTCTGTTTAATGCTTTTGAACAAAAGCATCTATTGAAGAAAATGTCCTTGTTTAATGAATAGGTTTTCCTTTAATATTTCTGACAATGCATTCAGAGTTCAAGAGGACCAATAAGATGCAGAAAACCTCAAGCCAGTGGTAGTCATCTGCATTCTCTCTTACTGCTGTTTAAGATTTGAAGCTTACAACTTCTCTGTAACATGAAATTTAATATTGTACTGTAGCTGATGAGGTCAACAGAAATAAGAGACATTCTAGTTGTAACAGAAGCCATAAAGAGTATAGTGATTATGAATGAGGTATGAAAGAGAAACCTGTCCCATAACTAAGGGACCATGTTCTATTTCTTAGAAGTTTAGGGCAGACCTGGATGCAATTCCAATACTGTATGAAATTTTAGATGCCTGCTGGCTTATTTGTACGTACTCATTATGATACTACTTGGATGCTTAATGCAAAGAACAATTCTTTTTTTTGTAGGATATGAAAAGACAAGCAAGAGGGAAGGAGGCTCCTTAGGCAGAACAACAGAAAACAGAAGATTTGATGTACTCATCCTCAGGGTCTTATCTGGATCATATGAGGCCACTAAGTCTCATTTTCCTCTCTTAAGAGAAAAGAAAACAAGAAAGGTGACACAAAATTACAAGAACTCTCCCAACAGGCATGATTTGTCCTTTCCTTCCTCTAGGAGATGAAGAAATATAATGTAAGGAGGCAAAGAGGTCTAGCTGTTTTCAAACAGCATCACTGACAGCACCTTGCCTTTCACCCCCGGAAACTTGGTCCACCTCAGTGACGTTACTTATAACAGAGAAATAAACCAAGTGTCAGACCTCACTACTGTAAACTAAAGCAGAATGGGAAGAAGCAGTCAGTGAAAACCCCAGAAAGAAACCAAAAAAACCCATACCTGTTGAGGAAAATACTACTAACATCATCATGACTGATAGGTGGCTTCTTTGAACTTGCAGCCATCCTTAAGGGCCGCAGAAAACAGTTCACGAGAACATAAAGTTGATGCACATATTCAGATTCAGCCTCCACCATGTTAAAAACTATCTGATTCCTTTTTCTCATGCTTTCTGCATGGGGAGAACAAATATAATCTTGGACAATAGTCTTCCATTTTCTTCTACATAACCAGCCCCGCATAAAGCTCTGGACCTAAAAATGGACCAAGCAGAAAAGGAGAATGAGAAAATCATTACATGACTCATCATGGGCTTTTCATTGCAGAAAAAAACCACAAGTGAAATGTCTCTGTTAAAAAAATATAACTCTATTGCCCTTATTGATCCCTAATTTTTCCTGAATTAATGTTTTTAAAGATTTCTGTTTTTTAAAATTCCCACACTTAGTCCTATTTGTTATCAGAAAACAGATTGAAAAGATAAACGTATATATTAAGATACCTTTTACTGCAAGCTTAAATGACACTCTTCCTGTCACACTGTGCAGGTTTTTTAACTCCCTTTACCCCCCTTTACCAATTTTACTTATACCCCCAAAAGTATTGTGCAAGGCTTCCAGGTAAGACATTTCAAGATAGACTCAATATAATTATTGGCAAAATTCTGACATAGTTGTTAAACTATTTCAGTTTCTTTCTGTTTTGAAGAGATATCACTTAGCATGTGTATTTAAAGCTAAATATCAATATACCGCTCAGTATCAGACACCTAGACCAGTAATACTATTATCCAGAAAAGGCGGATTTTTGACATTCTGAAAAAGTATCTCTATGTCATGGAAAAATCTACGTAAGCATAATATCCATTGAAGTTACAAGTGGATTTAAGATTACAGAAAAGGTCTACATCTGGTCACAGAAAATTTCAGTATGTCTTTGCCTTGATCTCAATATGAAGACCATTAATTTTCAAAGAGAAATAGAAAATCTCACTAGTAGCACTTTACCCTGAATAAACAACTTTTAAAAAAAGGACCCAGTTGTTAAAACAATAAAGATATACAATGCGGTGAATTATATACAGAATCAGAGCTCTCCTTCTACTAAAAGAGACATTTCCAGTTTCTATTACATGTTTAAACTACATGAAAAGGAAAATTCCCACAAGAGTACAAGCTCAGTGCTGACCCTGACTCAGACCGTGTGACCCAGAAAAAGTCAGAAGTAAATCCACATAGTATATAGGATATTATGCAATTTAAAAGACTGAACACTGTGAGAATAAGGGTGACACATACAGGACCACATCTTCAAGCACAAATTTCATTCATGCTCATGAATCAGGATTTGTGGGAGACAGCAATGGACAATATCCTGGAACAATCACCACCACGCAGACCGGCAGACAACCTAAACCAAGACTGTTCTCTGCATTTTCAGTATTTGCATTCCAGCTGCAGTCACAGGATATAAGTCATTCTCATATCTCTTTATAAGTGTGAGATGTGTCAGTCCGATTTGTGTTAAAATAACGTGGAGGTCATAGGGAAGATGCGACCTCTGTGACTATTTTGACTGTCCTTGTACGGAGAACAGATTGGAGACAAGTAGAACGGAGTATATAGTTGTGTAAAACCCATAAGACGCTAGAAAGAAAAAACACTCCCTCAGAAGTGAGATAATACCGGTCCTGTGGTTTGAGCAAGAGCCAAGAAATAACTAAGTCTACCCAAGAAGAAAAAATTAACAAAGGTTACAAAGAGAACAACCTCTGTGACCCCCTCCACGACCACCAGCAAGGGACACTGCTCAAGCGCGGATGGGAGGAGAGCTAATAATAATATGAAGCGGGGATAGGTCATGCATATGTATAAGCGTATTGCGAAATCCTATGAATATGTAATAGTTAAAAAAATATAAACCCCAAAAGAGACCTGTACGGCACACGGATTGAGGGATCAGAACAAGATTAGGACATTCTGTCCCCACGCACCCAGCGCTGTTTGCTTGCCTTTACTCACTTAATAAACTGTAAACTTTAATTGAAATCCTGTTTGAGCCTAAATCATTTATCACAATTGGGGGCTCGTCCGGGATGGTCTTAGTTCCTGAATTCTAACTTGATTTAGGAGGGGCGCCCCCACCATTTGGTGGCTCGTGATCGAGTTGGGTCAGGACTAACACCATTC